CGGAATATAAATGCAAATGTTGGTAAAGCTATAGCTCAGACGTGTGTTTTCATCTTTTATCAGGTCACGCACAAAAAAATTAGATGTGTAACTCGCGCAAAGAGTAAGACGTGTAATCAAAAATTTATATTTCTGTGCTATTTAAAGTGTGTTTCAAGGAAAATAAAGAGCTACTTCCATACAGATCGCACAAAGGTCTAAACATTTGCTAAAACTTCAACCTCATTAACAAAAATATAATCTACTCGACCGGATATGCGACTTCCTTAAATTGTATTCTGTCGCCAGGTAAACCATTCGGATCCCTTCGGAACAGCATGGATGGAATTTACCCCTGAGCTATTTCCTTAACTCCTACGACATTTTGTTCACTTCCCTAAAGGTTTTCTTTTCTCTCTTTTCTTTCTTTCTTTCTTTTTTTTTTTTTTTTTTTTTTTTTCATGATGACATATTGTATTACCAACTTGTGACACTGTGATATAGTGCCAACTGACAGCTTTTTTATTACGAATATTTGGCAAGGAGAAACTCACATTAAAACACTAATATTTCACCAACATTTCACACGAAACCTAAAAAGTAGTAGCCTCCCCACAGACGTCCGTCCGTTGGGGTTCGTTCGTCACGAGAACAAACGAACCCCAAAGGACGTCTGCGGGGAGGCTAACAAAGTAGGTGTCATATTTCTTTAGACTTGTGTCGTGGCGCGTTAACCTTTTTCTCTACTTTAAGCTATCCGTGGAGATGAGACTGAAAAGACACCCTTATATCTGGAGAAAAGCTTTCTTTCTTCCCAACACAGATCAAATGAATCAATTGTCACATTCCTTTCCTTCAAAAGAGATTTGATGAAAGAACACGATCCTTCAGAGTTCTTTCTTCTGTTAGCTATTGAGACTGATATGTAAAGTATTGTTTTATAATACGAGGTTAAAACTGTGGCAGGTGTTGTTTATTACACAGGGGCAAAGCATAAGTTTTAGTGGGTGTGCGCACGAGAAGAAAAGTCAGAGCGACGAAGGCGTTCCAAACTGGATTCATGCTCCCCCTCCTTCCTGAATTTCCAAGGAGCATTTTCAGTAAATAAATACGGAGGAAAATGCAGCTTTAGCTTTTTCTTTTACTCCATCTCTGGTGTCAGATCGGTAAGGTACAATTTGTACGGAAAAAAGGGTAAAACAGTGACGACATCAAGGAAGTTACAAGCAAAGGGCGATACGTCTTCCCTTCAGACGGGAATACAATTAACGCTATCAATATCCTTGTGCTTGTACATGTGCAGAATTACAAGAGAGCTCGATCTCTCGTCTGTTCGTCACCCCACTATATAACGTTTCTTGACATCCGTTCATGGAATAATAAAAATTTCCGTTTGTGTGTTATTTATCTACTTATTTCGTTGCTGTTTTGTTTTCTCCGCTACTATTCTACCTGTCTCCAGTGTGTTAAAAATATTTTATTTTTTAATAGCGCAATAAACTTCCCTTTAGCCGGAGTTTATTTGCCATAGTTTTCTGCAAAGTTTTGGATCTGAATTCAGTGTTATTTTAACAGTCGGCGAGTATGAGATTCGCCGTCAGCTTTGACATGCTGGACCAGCTCTTTGCCTTTGCTTGGAGGATATTAAAACTCCTCTTAAAGCTATAAAAACTCTTGTTACTGTTAGCTTGGAGCTTGATGCAGGGACCGCACAACAGTATTAAAAAGCAAGTTATACTAAAAAAAATCCAAGTTGCTTTTCTATTTAACGTTTTACCGAAAAACGGATTATTCACGGGGGACAAAGGTTTTTAATTAGCTTTTATTAACAGCATCCCGGCCCGGCATTGAATGACGAGATATAGATTTTTGTTCGCTAAGCGGACTTCACAGGAAAATGGCTAAATTCATGATTGGTTTCAGTGGCTGTAAAAGTACCATTATTTTATATTTTACCGTACATTTACAGCAATGAAAGTGAAGCTTCTGTTCTCCTTTTCTTTTGTTCTTGCATCAGCTGCTTTAGTTCGACATGGAGCTAAACTTCTGTTATCGAACAAGGTCGAACGGTTGTGGAGAAAAGTTTTTTTTTTAGGGCGACGTTTTTTGTTGCTAATAGAACTTAAGTTTCACCATACCATGTTAGTTTTAAAAGCATTTCTAGCCATTTCAGAGGGCTTAGTCTCAGACAACCAGAGCTCCCCCCCCCACCCTCTCTTCAGAGACTTGCCCCTTCGGTCTCATTTGGTCCTTCTCCTCGTTAGATCACACCACCCCGTAAAAAACATCTGGCTATTTTTCTGTCTTAAGGTTAAGACAGAACAGCAAAACCAATCCAGATCGCTTCAAAACGACACAGGAATACAAAATACAGCAAAGGTAGTGGCTCTGCAGTAGTGGGGGGGGGGGGGGGGGGGTCAAAAGGTTTTCGCTGAGCGAAGCTAACCGAGAAGGAGTCCACGCTCGACTTGTGATTTTTTTTCTTCTTCATTTTTTCTTGTCTTTGTTCTTTAACTGTTTT